GTTTTGTCCTGCCGCTCCTCAGACTGCGTCTCCTCTCACCTCCAGTGCCCACTAAGGGGAAGGGGCTCATCCTTCCCCCCCATAAGGCGTGGAGCCGCGGTGAGGGGCGGCCGATCCCAAAGGAAGCACTGTCCAAGCGGCCCCACTCTCCCCTCACTTCCCTCCGCCGCCTCAGGCACCGCCCACCGCCCCGCCCACCCGCCGCTGCGGCCTCTCTGATTGGCCAGCGGGGGGAATCTCAGCGGGCCACTCTTCACCACATAAGGAGCGGCGGGGCCGGCGCGGGGCTCACTGCCCGCCCCCAGCCAGCAAGACGAACTGAACCGAAGCAGGCAGACACTGCCATTGTGATACGAGACGTGGGCCGCGCCCCCAGCCCGGGCGCAGCGCGGCTCGGCGGGGACGCCTCGTCCTCTTCAGCGCCGGGACAGCGGCGGCCGCGGCTCCGGTCCCCGCCAGGCCATGGCCGAGCTCAAGTCGTTGGGCGGCGAAGCGTACCTGGCGCTGCCCCCGGGGTACGGCCCGTCCGCCTTCGCCTATGGGGCTGTGCGCGGCGGTACGGAGGGCCCGCGGGGAGCCTACCCGGGGGGCGGCGGGGCGGACTTCCATCCCGGAGCGCTGGGCAAGTCGGCGGAGAGCAGCGGCGAGCAGAGCGGCGATGAGGAGGACGGCTTCGAGGCCGGGGTGAAGGGCGGCGCTGGCTTCGAGCGAGAGGGCAAGCTGAAAGGGGGAGCCCTGGGTAAGAAGCCGAAAGAGCAGCGCTCGCTGCGCCTCAGCATCAACGCGCGGGAGCGGCGGAGGATGCACGATCTGAACGACGCGCTGGATGGGCTGCGCTCCGTCATCCCTTATGCCCACAGCCCCTCGGTGCGGAAACTCTCCAAAATCGCCACCCTGCTCCTGGCCAAGAACTACATCCTCATGCAGGCGCAGGCCCTGGAGGAGATGCGGCGGCTGGTGGCCTACCTGAACCAGGGCCAGGCGCTGAGCGCCCCGCTGCCCGCCACCCTCAACCCCTTCGCACAGACGGCCGTGTACCCCTTCGGCGGAGCGGCCTTGCCCGGTTGCCCCGAGAAATGCACTGCCTTCACAGGAGCCGCCTCCCTCTGCAAACACTGTAACGACAAGCCTTGACTGCTGCCTTCTGCGGGCTTTCGGGGGTTATTTTATTTATCTTTTGCTTTTTTTCTGTGCACTTTTCTTTCCATCACCATCAGCCCCGGCTTCCCACCATCAGTTAAGTCTGGGTTTTCTTTCTGTTTGCTTCTCTTAAAACACCCCTGTCCCCACACCCCATCTGGAGTGTTTGGCAGTTAATGTGGACCCCAAAAGCACCCGCTTACAACTTTTATTTCCCCCTCCACACATGCAACTCCATCTATAGAGTTATTTCCTTCCCAGCCTGTTAGTGGACTGTGAGCGTGATGTTGCTTTTCTGCTTGCTCTGATCTGCAAAGTTTTTGAGCAGTTTTTAAACTAAACTATAGGAAAACAGGGAGAGAGATTGATCTGGAAATGGAAACCTCAGCGAGTTCTCTTTGGCCTGATCAACCTGTGTTTAAAAAATAGCTTAAAAGGAGGGAGGGAAGCAAAATCCAGCTGCAAAACTATGCAATGGTTCAGAATCATGAGGGTGGGGGGATGTAGCCAGCTCGGCTTGGACTGCACCCGCAAATCCAAATGGAAATGTCATTTGGTAAGCTTTTGGGGGGGGGGGGGGGGGAAGTTTGGTGCTCTTGATAAAACTGTAGATGCTTCAAAATAAGATGCTTTCTTCTTCTTCTTTTTTTTCTCTTAAAAAGAAAAAAATAGCCTGTTTTTTGAACTGAGAGGAACCTGTGATTGTATCTACTGCTTGCTCTTTGCCTGTTTCTCATCTTGGTGAAGTATTCCAGATGATTTTCCAAAGTCATTGCTCATCATGATAAACAAAAGCAAAAGGTCACTTAACGTATTTATATGTATTTATAATAAATAAAAGACATGAATAACCACTTTCTCTGTCCTACATGTCTCTAAAGCCAGCTGGCAGTCAAAGCAAAACTGCTGCTGAAGGAAGGTAAAGCGGAGACAGTCCTTTGCAGAGGAGCAGCGTGGTGAAGTTAGGTGAATGATGGGAGTACTTGGAAAAGCTCCTCATCAGCAAGGATTTGTTTTTTCTCCAGTTTCGCATGAATCGTGAGCACACAAATGTTGTTTATGCCTGACACTTAGAGTTCAGTAGAAAGAGACGCGTTCAGCTTGTGTATTTTGATGCCTGTGGGAGAAGCTGTGCCCTGAAAGTGGTGTTTGAAAGGGGGTATTATAGCATCAAGCTTAGCTCTGTGGACACCCATGTATGTCGTGGCGAGGGAGGAAATTGCTTAAAGACTCTACTTATCCCTTTGGCTTGGTTTTCTGTTATACATACAGCCTGACCCTAGACTTGCGTGTGGGGTTTGGGCCACTTAGTATCATGACTAAACTAATGATGTCTCGCCAAGTATTGACTGTGTTAGTACAGGTTACACAGTGAATCCCTCGCTGGCGAAGTTACGGATGTTGCTTGTGCTGGTTTAATTTGATTTTCTGGTTTATGATGTCTAACGCTTTGGTGCCTTGTATGCTTCACTAATCACTATATAATAATAGTAATAATTAAGGTGCATCCAGTGATTCCTGTTCAGATTGGAATACCCACCCAATGTCAGAGCAACCGCATAAACTGGTACAGTCGCAGCCTGAGGGGCTGGAGCTGTCCATGGCCATTTGTGTTAGGAGTGGGGTGTAACTATTTAGGGTTATTAAACCAATTTCCATGCCTGTCGCTAGTGTTATGCTAATGTGAAGAGGACTGCCGTCCCTCTAAAGCTGCTTGTCCATGGCACTTAATTTTAATTAATACATTTCCAAAAGACTTGTTTTATTTGGAAAACCAAGTGCGTGATTAAACCTCGTTCGTAAAGACGGATGCTTAAAGCTGGATCCTGCATGTTTCCGATTTTATATCTTAATTTCATTTTTTACAGCATAGTTTTACAAACAGTTTCTTTGTAGCACTTTTCATTTATTCCATAAAAGCAAATCTCGAAAATACTCTTTCAAAGGCATCTGATGAAACAGAAGCTGACCAAAACCACTGCTGAAGCAGAAATGGCTGGAAAGTGCAAATCAGCAAAGGTCATTTGCTGACTGAGCTGTTGCTAGATAATATTTGGGAGGGGAAAAAAGGTCAATTTAGCAGAGAATCATGAGGTTTAGGGAAATATTTATTACTTCTGATTCAAATTATAGAAGATAGAGCACTTGGGAAGAGTTAAGTGAAGATTAGTTTAATTGTTCATTTTTCACCAAAACTGAAATACTTGGTGAATAAAGTATTTAACAGCTTAATATTAAATATGAGTTGAGTTTGGGTAAAGACTTGCACTGGTAATAATGGAATTTAGGATTGCTTCTTTCTCAAATTAATATGGCAACAAATGTGGCTTGCTTATTTTAGAGCCTAAAAAAAGTCTTCACAGCCTTAGAGACAAGCTATTTTTGGAACAATGGTTTTTAGTATCATGAGGGTTTAATTTTTTCCCCTATAATTTACATGAGTAAAAAGCTTCCTCATATTACTGTATCTACCTAGAATCCTAAAAATACACCGTTGGAGAGTCCTTGGAGTATGAGAGAGCCCACTTTGAATTAAACAGTCTCGGGAGGCTGAACATGGAATTTCAAATGTAGGAGATGAAACCTGCATTGAAGAGAACTTTGGTAGGAAAAATAGCAAGCTTGAGTGTCTAGATACTGTGAAAAGGCTAGGTGTTAAAAAAGAAATGTAGAACATAGCAAAGCAATGCTGGAGGAACTTGTAAGTCATGGTTAAAGTCGACCTTGTTGTACAGGGGAGTTAATTCAACAGTAAAAAATCCAATCGTAACTTTTGCTGCGATTAACATGTTCATATCAAACTAAAACTTGCCTGACTTCTCAGTTAATCTGAAAGTTTGGGGCTGTGAGTTGCTTCTTCCCACCACAGACTTGTAGGATTTTAACTCTTCTCACTCAGTTGAATCCCATGCTGAGCCCGTAGCATTTCCCGTTGACAGGAAGGATCTGTGTCGCTCTGATTTACACTTTGTGCTGAGCTACTGCTAAAACCACTGCCAAGGGAATGGATGCCTAATACTGGTGGAAAGATGACTTTGTTGGGAGGGGATGAACCAGCATCTGATCATTGTGTTTATGTGTGCAGCGTGGTTTTTAACCTTGCAGATGTGCATGGTTATCCTGAGGATGAGATCCTGTAACTTGTTATTTGCTTTTCCCCTTCTCTGGCATATGAAAAACAACTTACTTTGTGTACCGTGTAAGGTTTTAAGTGTCTGCTTCCAGCTGATGTTTCAGAGAATACAAAGGGAAGACTTCAAAATGCTGAAGGTCTTTTTATTTCTGCTTAAGTGTTCTTGTTATGGTGCCTCCTTTTTTCTTTTTCCAAGAAGGATTTATGGTATATGCTCAGATGGAACGGAAATACAGATCATGTGTTCTAATGTATTCTTTATCCTTGCATGTTCATACTCTGAAGAAAACTTAATGCCAACTTTAATTAAAGATAATATATTGTTTTCTAACTTAGTTTTTCTTTGAACTGCAAGAATGATCAGCATGAGGTGTTATAAGGAGGAGATGCAAAGAGAAAATGATCCACTGTATATTAGTAATTTTTAAGCTGCATAGTTCTACTCACTAACAAAAAGTAAGGTTTTCCTAACCAGTATATATAACCTTACTAATAGGGAGCTGGAAACTGTTGTCAGTTTGCACTGCATCAGTCAAGATTCAACATGAGCAGCTTTGAGCTTGCAAGTAAAATCTTGTTTAACCAAGTAGAGGGAAGCAACAGGTTTGAAGATGGAGGGCCAGGAAGGTGACTGTCTACTTCAGACACCAGCAAAACCTTAAATCAGTTGGAGCCATTTGATTTTCCTTGTTCTTTAACCGATACAGCTGGTATTTCGACGTGCTGCCGCTGTATCTGACTATTGCTGCATGCTGAGCTTGTTTCTAAGCCTTTAGAAACTGGTCAGTGTTCTCAGATAATTTTTTGAAGTCGTTCTTTACATAGATATACCCATAATTTCCATTTTAAAATTGTAGTTGGCATTTTATAAGGGTAAAATGTATGTAGGATCTGATCCTGCGGCTGGGTTACTAATTGGCAGCATTTCTGGCGCTATTAGTGACAGCAAAATGGGGCCTGATGCTGCAGGGCACAGCAGTGGTTTCTGAAACCAACATAATGCTGCCTTTAAGAGGCTCCAGAGGACCAGAAAAATCTGTACAAGCTTTATCCCTTTACTGTATTAGCCTTGTAGCATAACTGTCAGCATAGGGCATGATGGATAAAGACCTCACTTAAAAGCTCTCGAGGTTCTTGAGACCAAACCTGCTTGTTGCCAGCTCAGCAGCGAGGGAGCCCTTCTCTGTGTCCCACAAGGCTGTGTTCTCACCAGTGGCAGGTTTCTAGTTGTTTTCCACAGTTTGGATTATTTAGCTTACTATTTAGGAGAACAAAACCAAGCATTTGACATTGCACACATCCCCTCCTGTTCCTATAGCATGTGTTCAAAAAAGTGTATTTCCTTAAAACTACAGTTTGGACTTTGCAGTGTTACTGACATTTATTTATAGCTATGCTTGTTGTCTGCCGTGTGAATTATCGGCAGAGAAATCACTGCTCTGCTCTCAAACAGGTGAAACCACATTTAAAGAATACTAGAATATAGCAACCACTATTTTTAATTGTCAAAACTGCTTTTATTTTGTTATCTGGCATTTGATAGAATTCTGATTAGTGTTGCAGAGTAGAAAAGTTGGGGGGTTTGTTTTCGCTAATCCTGATTAAGGCTAGAAAACACTCTTGATTACAGCAATTTTAATAATGTAAATTTGTGATTTGTTCTTTAGTCTTTAATCCCCTTTGGCATCCCGTTCAAAGGGAGATGAAAAATCCAGGGATTTATAACATTGAAATCAGTCATTCCCTGAATGCTTCTCAGGCAGTTTTCCTTCTACCTGAAATAAAAAATACCTAATGGATAACGAAATATTTTGCTATGAAATTACAAATGTTTGCATGAGGTTTTTCTTTAGAAAACAGCTTAATGTCAAGCATCTTCTCTTTATAATAAAGTGTATGTGTGTAAGAAAAGAGAAGCAATTATCAAAACAAAGACTGTATTCAAAATCTTTGGCATTTATTCAGATGCTTTGAAGTAGGATTTTCACTATGAAATTATATCATCTTTTCCTAGTCAAAATTCACTTTAATTCTTTTACCCATTACCTCAAATTGTTACTTCTATTTGTATTTATGTATACATATAGTTTTAAAACAATCCAGTTCATTTTAGTGCTCTTAGCTTCGATTAACAGTGAAATTTCAGTTGATGTTTATTCCTGAAATGATGAACCGTTTTGAGCATAACTCTCAATTTCTTTCAGGCCAAATAAATTAAGATAAAGTATTAGTGCTAAATTAATTTGTAGAGACATTTAGCCAAGTTATTTCAGATATAAAAAAATGTGTGGGTTTATTTTGTTGCTGTACTTAAGTTGGTGAAATTTGCAGAAGATAAATGACAAACGTGATGTCTTACACAACAGAGAAGGAGAACATGATGGTTTTCAAACTCCCTGCCTCAGTGAAACAGTAAAAATACATCATTTCATTATTATTTAACATATGATTTTAATTTTCAAGTCTTTATTTTCATCAGTGATTCATGTTTGTTAAAATCTGTTTTGTTAATGCCATTTATATCTGCTTTATTTCTATTTCCCTGTGCTGACACTAATGTTTTGTGTGTTTATGTACATCGATACGGACTTGTACTAGGAATATAACCCAACCTCCCTCAGCTGCCACTGGGAAAAAAAAAAAGCTCTCTGCTCTTTTGCCTTAAGTATTTCAAAGGGAAAAACATGGCTGAGCAAAGAACCATCACCCCAGTTTTTCCTCCAAGCCCACTTTTGTCTAAAGTAATGAGGCCATAGTCAGTTGGCTCCAAGGAGCGTTGTGATTTAGTGTGACGTACAGTGAATCATTGCAGATCCATTCGGACTGCATTCGTTATTTTAATGAGACGGAGGCAAATCTGGGTTTTTTGGCCGCAAACCTTAAGATGCAAGCATAATGTGAAATGTTTGTTGATTGCCACAAGGCAACTGACATTATAGATTTTTATCGCCATCATTATGGGGTTTAAAACTCACCACTTCCCAAGATATTTAGCCCTTTCCCCCTCCCCTGCAAATGACAGGGCAGTTAGAGTGCTGACATTAAAAAGCAAAAAGCTCATCTATTTATTTCCTGCACTTATTAAAAGCTTGTGTTGCATCTTAGGGTCTTCACTATGGTTGTTTTATTCCCACTTTCCCAGAGGAGCAGGAAAACCCCGACCGCAACGCGGTCACCCAAAAAAGGTCACATTCATTTGGGCGACAGCAGCACTAGGTCCCCACCAGCCTTTGCTTGATGTAGTATGAGAAATGACACTGAGGCGGGCATATCTCTGCACAAACAGTAATCACAGTAATGGTGTTCATAGGAATTTACTAGTGCTCAACTTTTCTGGAGTCTGGAGTAATGTTTCCTCTGCTGTGGTACCAGTAAAGAATTTATTGGGCTTGTGGTTGCCTTCAGGCAAGCGGCAGTCAATTTATAAGAGAAAAGCTTCCAAAATGAGGGTACACTGGTAAATGTGGGTGTATGTGCAGGTGTGTTTGTGTAAAACGCACATCCACGGGCAGGATAGGTTGATGTGTATCTATAATGTCTTCAGGTATATTGCACCTGTGCCTGAAGGAATGTTTCTGTCATTGATTTACCTGATTTGTCTCCATCAGTTGGTGGTGCTTTATGTTTGCATAAAACTTTGTGCTTCATTTAGCGTGAGGTGTCCCTGCCCATGGCAGGGGGGTTGGAACTAGGTTATCTGAAGTTCCTTTCCAACCCTAACTATTCTATTATTTGATGGTAGTACAGACAGTGTCATTGCACAAAGACCTCTGCTCTCCTGGAAAATGGCTTTGACCTGCTCAACCTGACAAACCCATGAATAATACTGTTCATCCTTTTGTTTTACCCCTAAAATACCCAGAAATGATGTTTTGAGACAAGACAGGGTGCTGGTTTCTCATTCTGCCTCTGGCAGCCTTGCAATGAACACAGCAGAGGACCAGGTACTTTTTTGCTTTTCCTACTTTCCAAATGCATACGTCTTGTTTTTATTGATTTGCTAAAAGTAAATGTCATGCCTGGCGCTCCTCACAGAGATGTCATGAAGAAATCCTTATGCCTCCTATTTGAGAACTGAATTACCTTAGTGTGTTTTATCTCCTGGCAGCTTCAGTGTAAAGCAAAGCACGCAGCTGACAGCCATAGTGGACGCGCTCCGTGTTTACAGCAGAACTGGGGCTGTAGGGGGAAAAGATGAGAATCTCTTGCCAAACGTTAAAATGGCTGCTGACTGGGAGGCCTCTGGCTCAGTTCTGCATCCTTTCCAGTGTCCATGACAGTAGATTTTTACTTCTAGCAAGTTTTTCCCCTTTGGATTTTTTCCCCTTTCTTGCCTCAATCTGTTTCTTGGAAGATTTGAGGATGGAAAACACTTTAGTTACAGGAGCTCTATTACTTCTAACAGTCCTTTTTGCAATTGAATGTGGCACTGTATACAGTAATCTTGGTACGAGGAGATTGCACAACATAGGTAAGCTTATTCCTGTGTGACCTGACTCCTCTTCCAGGTGCTTGCTTGTAGCAGCTCTAAAATACCCTTTTTTCTTAGGGTGAGGGGGGGAGGCTATGCAGCAAAGAGCATCTTTTCTCAAGTGTTTCTTTGCAGACATTTGGGGGTCTGTTTTATGTCATCGTGACCAAAATCCCTTTTCAGGCAGGAGATTTTCCTCTCCTTTCTGAGCTCCTGTTTGCACTTGTTAGGACCAGACTGCTTGTTGAAGGTCTAATTCTTGCAAATCATCTCCCCTGTAAATGCTTCTGCCCTCGGTGGGATTCCGATCCAGCCTCAGACAGAATGGTTTCTGTACCAATATGTGAGAAATGAATTTTCGATCACATAGAGCATGCACATCGAGATATTTACTTGGTTTTGGTTTTGGAATTGAACCAAATTTGGAAGCAGCATCTGATCATTTTAATGAAATTCTGCTGCTTTTGACTTCCTCCTCCAGTTGCCTTGCCCTGAGGCACAGGACAGATCAAGGCGTTTGCCCATGGACACACACTGACTTGAGCGAGTGGCTCTCAGTGTTTGAATTCGGATGATCTTAGCTTGCTGCTTTCCTAAGTAAGCTGCACATCACGCTGCCTCCTCAGCAGCATCCACGCTGACATTTCTCTTTCTCTCTCAGCATACTTGGGGTCTCTGGGAAGACTGAGCCTTTATTGTGGCAGTGGTGTCACCCAAGTCACCTCCTGGTTCCTTCTGGAGCAGTGATAGCCAATGGGAAAGGAGGTGTAGCTTCATCTTGGCTATTTTCTAGCAGTCTCCTGCTGCTACAATAGCCTGAGGTGACTTGAACCTACCCTGGGGACCAGCCGGTCCCCAGCTGCTTCCAGAGTGGAGAAGCATAAAGGTGGCTTCAAGCCACCTTTGTTCTCCAATCCTCATCTTGCACTGAGCGCAGACGAGTCATAGGGGAGAATCTGGGCCAGAGCTTATGAAATGCTTTGCTATAGAAACATGCCCTCACTGCAAAATGCAGCTTTCTGGTTCTCTGAGCTCCTGTCTCAACGCCCTTCGCTTCTTGCCTTGCAACAGGGGAAGATGGCTTTCTCTGTGTCACTGTCACCATTTAAGCCATAGGCTCCTAGTTCAGAGAGCATCCTGCACAAACCCAGTGACCCCAGGAAGCAAGACTGATACATGGTGGGAGGAGGAGGAGGTATTATCACTGTCTGCACAACTCATTGTTTTCATTTTTACAAGGAAAATGGGCACTTTTAACAGGGATTCTTTATATTCATACACTCACATCCCTACTTTAGCCAGCCTGTGGTTGTGAACCAGCCCCAGTTTGTTCTCACCCATCTTGAGGTGATTATACTTACACACCTGTAATTCCCAGTTAAACACCCAACTTTTGGTTTTCATACCATGGAGTTAATCCATTTCCAACACTAATGTTGCCCAGTATTACTCTCCTGACATCAGGGACCCTTCTCATTTTCAAATGAGACAAGTGCCAGCCTCATGAAATTCACTTTTTGTGATGAGCATTATTTGGGCAGTCAACTCCTGGCACTTCATTTCTATTCTCTGGCCCCTCCCATAAATTCCTGTGTAATGCCCAACATTGCTGACAACACACACGCATTTCTGCTGGCTGAAACACTATCAGTGGCTGGTTTTAGTTGTCCAACATGAAATAACTGTTTTCACCTACCCAATGGTATTGAAGACTCTGCTAAGCAATGACATGAGGAGTGATGTGGGCAAAAGGAGACAACCCAGGTGACCAGGTAAGGCACAGAAGATACTTCATTCAACCCCGACAAAAAGGTGCATGTCTGCTCTTTTGCTGAACATCACAGGTATGTTCCACAGAGCGTAACTCTCACCAGGTCCTGCAACTGGAGCAACGCTCATCTTTTGCACTTTACTACCATCTAAAAGCTCCTCCAAGGGGCTGCACGTTTAGGTTTGGCCAGCAGAAGGTGGCACAGCCTCAGTGATGTGAGGGGCATCTGGCTCAAACCAGAATGCCCCATAACCACTACGATCATGACAAAGGCTGATTTTTCTTGTCACAAATCTTCTGATGACTCTGGAAAGATTTTCACCCTGTTTGTTACTGGCCTACGTTTCAGTCACTACATTATCTGAGCTGCCAGCCTGAAACACTCTATTTGAGTTAGACCAAAAGTTTATTCTGATCTCGATGTCAATTCAGATGTGGTTTTACCCTGAATTTCATTTAGTTCAGGTGTTAAAATCAGAGACTGGTACACCCCAAATAGAAGGCACAGGATAGTGGAGTTTAACCCAAATATGATTAATATTGAGATAGAAGCATGTATAGCTTGGGATAGACTGAAGACCCTCAGTTCACATAAACTTGGCCATCACAGCTCAGTGATGTCACTCTCTAGTATCTCTCTAGATGGCCACAGACAGAGCAAAGTCTCTTCATTCATTCAAGAGTTGAGAAGTGGAAATTACATCTTTCCTCTTCATTTTCTCTGGGAAAATCTTCTGACTAATTTATGGAGTAGTTAATCTGGTTTGCACGTGTGCGAGTGAATGAGCATGGCGTGTGTCTTTGCGTGCAGGAGCAAGAATTATTTCCTGATGGCAAGATAATGGAAACATATTGGGGGTGAGAGAAGGGCTTCATTAGAAAAGCACAGCTTCACGAGGATGGTTCTTGCATATGAATCATGACTCATCTGCTCCAGCCTGAAAAACTCACTGGGAGTCAGATTATTGTGCTTAACAGCTAAAAGTCAGGCAACTAATTAAGCCTGCTCTGTCTCCATCCTGAAGAATAATAGATAACGGTTTCCCAAGGGTAATTCATGTCACTGTAGAATAGGTGGACAAGTTGCCTTGTGGGGATGCTTATCTCTTGACATCGACTGCAGAAGCTGCACAGGTAGCTTAAACTAGATGCCTGGTTTTCAGACACATAGACACCGTGAGAGCAGCCCCCATCTTACTGCCTCGTGCTAGAATTAGGACTTGAAACAAGAGCTTAAAGGGTTGCAGATTCCTGGCAGTCAGAATAACCTGGCCCCAGTAAGAAGCAGCCCATCAGCAGTCAGAATAACCCAAGGCAATGTGAAATTAAAAGCAGGTTTAATTAAAGCTGCTGAGGGAAAGTGTTTATGTCTGTGGGAAGCAAGTGTGGTCACTAAATAATATGGCATAATAACAATGAAAGAGATAAATGAATAGGGGTAAATGGAGTAAATCATACTGGCAAACCTCAGAGTCAGGATCTTAAAGTTGAAGGTTGCAGACAGTGCAGGACATGCAATGTTAATCCTACTGAACTTTAGGATCATAGGATTGTTGAGGATGAAAAACACCTTTAAGACCGAGTCCAACCATCAACCCAGCACTGCCAAGTCCACCAATAACCCATGTCCCTAAGTGCCACATCTACATGTGTCTTAAATACCTCCAGGGATGGAGGCTCCACCACTGCCGTGGGCAGCCTGTCCCAGTGCTGGACAACCCTTTTGGGGGAAGAGATTTTTCCTAATATCCAATCTAAACCTCCCCTCATGCAACTTGAGGCCATTTTCTTTCTCCCTATTGCTTGTTTCTTGGGAGAAGAGACTGACACCCAGACAAACTGAATTTATCACACAATGTATTTGAGTGGATGAGGTCAAATTTGTACCTCTTTGTTGCCCAGCAACTGTAGCTGAGCATGGTGATGTTATTTGCTATAAGAAGGTGTTACACAGACACACGTTCAAAAACAAGCCATCATGAACCTAGAGAAAAGTCCCTGATCCTATAGTTATGAACTGGAAGAAAGCTCTTCACATGCAAGGTGGCATTTTGCACCTGAGAACACAGCAAATACTAATGCATTTCTGAAATGCATAGTACAGCACTGCATTATATGCTTACATCTGACTAATGTAATGTGAAAGTGGCCTAATGCAGTATGTTATTTGTCCTGATATAGTCTGGAGCTTCCCTGAACAAATACTGAGGAAGCTGTGAAGCTGTCATGCTTTATAGAGTCTACTCAAAGGCTGGAGATTGAGTAGCTATGATTCTAGAATGCAATTGTGCTTTTAAAGCATCTCATTTCCCAGGGTGGAGCCTTCACAGACACCCAGAAGATTGTTTAGCTGATGTCCATAACTCTTCCCTGGTTTAAGTAGGGCAGCAGAGAGGGCACTGATCCACGACGCACTGTCATTTGCTATCAAGGCTTGACAGCAGCATTCCATATGTCTCTACTGGAAAATAGTCTTAATGTCCCCTCCAACGCAGCAATTTGCCAGCCAAGATATCTGCAAACTCTGGATCCAGTGATGGAGTGAGGGTGCGAAGAGTCATCCCTGTTAACCCGTGACTGCCGCATTTGTCATCCTTACAAGGACGTTAGACACAATGAAATGAGTTCTGGTGGAAGCCTGTGCCTCCCCGAAGTGGGCAAATGGTAGGTTAAGAGAAAGCAAATGAAAGGTAAGATTAATAGCATTTAGCATGGCAGATAGACTAGCAGTTTGCTAATTAAAGATGTTAGAACATAGAAGCAGCCAAGGATCAGTGGCTTTTAATGAGGATGTTGTAGGGTGATTTAGGTCTAATTTTCTGCTTAATAAGGCTGGTTTAAAAAGTAATTTTGTTGGGATGTGACTCTCCTAAACCTGTTCATTATCAGTGATGGGACTTCACTTCAACACTCCAGGAAATGTTGTGTTTAATTAATATTGTGTCGGCAAGTGGATATGCTGACAGATGAGAAAAAAATTGATGAAGAACTTTCAAGGACATTGACTTCATTACACAGCTTCATTATAGCCTGAATAACTGGCTAAATATGTCACTGGAAAGATAACGTGCCACTTTTAACTCTTCTCTTTGTGTTGTTCGTGTAAGTAAGCACGTACGTAAGGAAGTGTATTTTCAAACTAGCCACTATTGGAACAAAATCAGCATCATGGGACCAGTTCTGCAATGTTTTCTCACTGCATTCATTGATCTCTAACTGATGGTGAGCTGTTTAAAGCAAAATACTGTAGGTTACTTACATGCATTCATTAGCCTTTTTACTTGCACAGAGTAAGACTTCAGTAAGTGACAGTCTTCACTATTGGGTAGTTTAATACAGCACCCTGAGAAAAGAGTAGAAACTGATTTAAAGGAGTTTTATTTCTCTGGGCAAAATAACATCCTGATGTATAGTGATGGATTGATCAGTGTCTCTGCAGTTGTTGATGAAGATGTATTTATACCTGTTTGGTCAGTTTGTCAGCAGTCTGTTCAAACCCATGATCATGTACACATGCATACATTCAACTTATACATACGGGGAGCAAAACTAAATGTCCCAAAGGTTCTGAATACTTTGCCTGTATGTGGAAAGGGATCAGTTTTAGCAGTCTGAGTGAATCACAGCAGGGTTACTTCTAGGCAGGAGAGAGTGTCTTACCCTGATATGAGAGCAGAGGGAGAGAGGTCATTACTGGCACTTTCCTTGAGCCAGGAATGTTTTTAGTATCTGCCATGCAATAATTTGGTACCTGGGAAGCATCTCGATCAAATCTTCTTATCTCAGTTCAGAAGAACTACACAGGAAATACAGCAAAGATGATTTGTTTCAGGCTAGGTGATGTGACCCAATGGTGACCTTAAAGACTTGGGGTCAGGATCCTCTGATTCCAAGTATTATCAGACTTTTTGCAGCAAGATAAAAAGGCTTCAAATCTGATCTTTTAAACAAGGATTGGGAGAGGAAAAGAAAAGCACTAAGTACAGGGTCTGGAGCAGTGTTTACCTGGAGGACACAGAAAAGCATCCAAAAGGTGTCTGACAAGCTTTCGAGAGAAAAACAGGTCAAGCAGCAAACCGCTGACTTCTGGGTTTCAGTTGCTCCTTCTTTGAGAAATAAGGCTCTTTAAAGAAGGAAAGGAAGAAAAACAAAGATCAACCTTTGAAGCTAAAAGCAAAAGGCGAAAATAATGTTTTCACTCTTACTCATTAGGGATATTAGCCAAGAGAAGAGGGCCAGACAGGGGAAAGGGAAGAGGCGCTGACTGGAGGCGACAGCTGGAGTTTATGTGATGCGTCAGTTCTCTTTAACACCTCCATTTTGTGCTGCTGTCACCTTCAGATGAGGACTTTTACAGAATGGGATTCACAAAAAGCATTCTCCTGTATCAGCCCTATTACACACCGGAGAGCTTTGTCCCCATAGCACTGTTTGCACTTACCTTCATAGATGCAGAGAGACCCTCACACGAGAGCGTGTCTGTGTCTGTGCAGCCATGGGCATGTGTGTAACTTGGCCCTCACCCAACACCTTTGAACTTTACCCATGTGCCAGCAACCATTAATAATGACTCATTATTTTTTTACCCTTGGTAATAAGGAAAGCAACACTCGGCCCAACTGTTCAATGAAAGAGTAACAGATAGCGTCCTGTCATCACCGCAAAGCTCAATCCGCTCCAGCACCTTATGTCTACAGAAACTCAGTCAGATACCATCCCAGGTTTGGAAAAGAGGAAGGGACTAATGAAAGCTGTCAATCTCCACCCAGGTTGGCTGTGTCGGTACATGTGGAATGACCTCCCTAATGGGTAATTGCAGGATTAGAACCTCGGAGTTTAAGTATCATGCAGGGACATCTGTCAGTGGAACAAGCCATCGCCTGGCAGTGGTACGATGCTCTTAGACACTTAATATGGCTCAGCCCACAGGAGAAAAGGTGCCTGGGAGCTATAACACTGGTTAAGCCTGTGAAACATGCAGATCCCGACAACGTGACTGTAACTGTCCACTTGCAGGCACAGCTTCTGCATGTGAGCGTGGGAGGATGGCGTGCAGAGCCCACGTGTGCTGGGTATGCATCACCCTTCTCATGTGTGCCTTGGGAAAGCAGGGACTTTGCTCCATAAGGGTAGCAAGCGCTACTCATTAAATGTGCCAGTATAGATGCCATCATCTGTGGTGGAATCACACCTACTGTGTGGGACAGCAAAGGCCAAACAAGTCCTAGATGAAAGCTCAAGTCATATCCAACTTGCTTCTAATGGATGCCCACCTTAAACACCACGGCTTCTTCTTTCTTCTGAGACAGGATAGAGTCAGGGTCATGCAACTTTTGTAGCAGAAATGTTCTGAGTTGCTCATCTTTCAGCATTTTGGGTGGCATGACAAGCACAAGCCCATAGGCATAGAGATCACCCAGTCCATTCCTTCATACTAATCGCCATAAATATGCTATTGGCCAATAAGGGATTAAACAGCTTATAAATGAGGCTCAGGACACTTACTGGTTCTGCTGATGGTGTCTTCAGTTATCTCCTGCATCCAGGCACATTGTCTTCATGGTGCCATCTCAGAGGGGAGAGCTGACATGGCCAGGGCCAGCAGGGAGATCAGTGACAGAGCAGGGCATCATCTTCTGACTGCCTGGACCACATAGGTATGAACTGAGTAATGAAGCAGGGCATAAATTTGGAAGCAAAGGGTGGTAGCAACCCACGTGTGTGAGCAGCACACATGTGTCAGCAGCCCATGTGTGTCCGTAACACATACACTTGTTCACAAGAAGAGCCTGTTGCTCCTGTGTGGTTTCAGGACTATTTCAAGTGAGCATTCACCTTCAGGGCTGGAACAGAGTCCCTCAGCACATGCTCTGTAAATATTTAGATGGACTTTTGAAAGCAAATGTCATTAGAAATTGGGCTGTTGTATAATCCAGTGCAATGCACAACTGTGTAATCGTCAGATATCCAAGGATGTAATCTTTTGTAACAAGCCAAAATCGAAAGTGTGCTCTTATTAACATCCCAAGTGTACTAAGCGTTTGGTAAACACTGGAAGATACATTTCTTGCCCCAGAGAGCATACAGTCTGCAATATTAATATTGAGTCTAGATAAGTCAACGTTTGCTTACTAAAATCATGGGCTGAATACTTTATAGCACCCGCACAGCTGCAAGGGTACTGCAAGCGATGTCTCCCTGTGCTGCCACAGAACACAACACGAGTCTGTATGCAAAGCTTCACCTTACTGTGCAGCTTTAAAACTGTGGCAATAATGTCAGTTAACAACGTCTCCTGTCACTAATAGTAAAGGTAAAAGAAATAAGATGTTTTCTGCAGATCCCCAATGGGTTTCTTTCAGGCAAGGACCATGTACACTAATACAAATCATATTTCACGTTACTCACAGGACATAGAGATAATCAGAAAGCTATCTTCATAAACAGAGGGTTATTCATAATCCCTCACATGGCATTTCAATTATCAGTCTGATGACGATGTGACATTATGGATGAGGTTGTGATTAAATTTTCTTGTGTAATGACCCTAAGTAAATCTTTGCAATTTTCATTTTGCAGAGATTTAATATAGATTGGTGGCCTGTTGTTTGGCCCCTCTTTAATCCAGAATCGCTCATTAAATTGGGACCAGTAAACATCTGATGATTGCATTTCATGGGCTGAGCTATGAATTTAACATATTAAATCTACATTCCAGATGGATATAAGCATCTGTTCTCATTATGGTTATTGGTGTTAATCTGAAACCCTGACCTGTTTCTCCTGACATTACTCATATTAAATTCCATCCCAAATTCTAACAAATATTGGCAGGAGGGCAGGAGGTAGCTGGAATGCCTTCACGTGCACATAATCCAATGAAAGATTAAGAACTGAAATTAGGGGACAAATAATACAAGCGTGTTTCTTGTTCTCAGAAAGCGGCTTTCATCGCTGCAGCAGGTAAAACAATTCCTTTTGTGTTCCAGCACTGAAAAAAAGACCCTGGAAAACCCCAGGAGCCAATTCGATTTGACCATGTCCTTGCTAATCACTGGGCTTGAGCTGTATCCTTTGCAGAGCGACACATCCCTAATTTGTAAATCTGATTTGTCACTAAATCTCTGCAGACTTTGACCCAGCATCTTGCAGGCACTTGTCTGGCATTAACCAGGCTCCTCTGCTTCAGAGCCAGTCAGCTGAAAGTCAAATTAATCGGTGACTTCCAAAGGCCATTAGGAAGGTCTCTGTTACAGGGCTGCCCAGAGCTTCTCTGCACTGAATGATTCATGTTTATTGCAGCCGGGGCATTTATTTATTAGATTGCTCAGTGTAATGGGAAATTTAAAACGACACACATTGTATTACAGGGAGGCTTAGCAAAATATTATCTCCCTGTTACTGTAAATCAAACAATTCTCAATGTCAGTTCGGATCACCTTTGCTCAGCAAAAGTTTTTCCAGAGGGTTTGTTTAGTTCCTTAGGGTTTTTTAGCTTTACCTTAAGCAAACATATGCCCTCTTCCCAGCCTGCTGTGTGAGACAGGCTCAGTGCCATGGACTGCGTAGGGATGCTGACTGTAATCCCGGATTTGCTTGGGTCTTCACACCCAGGTTGTGTGTGAAAAGGACGAGACAATGCAGCCCCATGGTAAAAAAAAAAGATGAGCCAAGAGGCTGGATATAGATTTTTGGCTTGAAAAGGAGGAATCCATTCAACATTTTAAATGGATTTAAAGGATCCAGATGCCTCATTAACTGATGCCCCAGGGTATCCTGGCTTATTGCTAGGGAGGAAAAAAGGAGGATCCAGCCTCTGGGGTGGTGGGAGAAGGAAAAGCAGCCCAGAAAATTGTAAATACCGAACAAGCCTGGCTAAGTCTAATAGAGGTGGGCTGCAGCAAAAAACCTGGACTATACCCATCACTGGAGTTTACCCTCCTGTACCACATTCCTCTGGTCAAGGCTCTCCGCATGCAGACTGTGACTAATAGCAGGAAGAAGGGTTAGGGGGAGAGCTTTGTGGCGTTTTTGACACTAAATATTCACCTGCAACATATAAACACTGTCCCTGCAGGACAAAATGCTGGAAAATACACAAAAGCTCTGGTTATTGCTGAAGAAGTGGGATGCAGCGTTTCCTGACGGCTGCACTTGTCTGTAAAACCTCCCTGTGATTTGAACAGGCTGAAAAGTGAAGAAACACAAACATTTTATTTCTAATATGAACAGAAGTTAATGAGTAAAACAAGGGAAATGGAGATTTAAGCATGTAGTAGGTATTAGAGAGAGAAAACTCTGGTGCAGTCTCCCGTAGTCATTTCATAATGGGGGAAAAAATCAGATCTCTTAAATACTGTCTTCAAGACCATAAAAAGAAAGGGACAAAAAGGATTGCAGCATTCAGTGGGTGAAAATACCCACTGAGGTGTGTATCTACCATCACTCATGGTTGTAATAGGGCACAAGTAAAAAGCCAACCCTGTCATTAGTAATTAAGCCTGCATCATTCACGGCAGAGCCGCTGTGTCTATGCAATGAGGCTAATTGTCTCCAACGTCCTGTCTGGCTTAGAAGAGTCCGGTTCAGCGGGTGTACAGCAGCGTTGGCCACGCTTCAGTCAGAGCAGTTTGACTTCAGCCCCTCACCCTGATGCAGGGTTTGGGACTGGTGGGAAGGGTTGTTACTGCTCACCAGCATCTGCAGCTCCTGAGAGCCGCAGACACGGGAAGGATGGAGCACGGTGTTGGGATGACGGCAGCGGGAACACAAGTACAGCGTGGAGACGCTGCCTGAAACGACCTACCCAAATTCAGGTTTATTATTATTTATTATTGATAATCTGTTTGTTATTCATATTTATTATTCATATCCAGGTATAGTGGCACCAGATTTTTGCCTGGTTGCTCCCAGGACAAGTCCAACAGCTGCACTATCAGTGTGTGAGCATCACCAAGAGGGTCACCAGGACCAGCTTGCCAGAGCAGAGAGTAGAAAGCAGCAAGGGAAAGGGGTCCTGGAGGAGCTTTTCTGGCTTAGAGGGTCACAGCAAGCATGCAAAAGACACCTGAGTTTAGCCACAGGACGAGCTGATGTTTTATTTGGGTTGTTATATCTACTGGTGCTGCCCGCTGGTTGCAGACCGGTGCTATGTGCATGCAGGAGCTGACACGTAAGTGGTTGATATCTCTCATCACATAGACTTCCACAGCATAACCATGGAACAAGTGGGCCTAGAGAAAATCAGAATTAAAAATGCCTTCCCCAAGAACAGTTTTACATTGGAGAAATCTTATTGCTGCCTTCCAGTACTTCAAGGGAACTGACAAGAAGTCTGAAGATTGACTTTTTAAAAGGGCCTGTAGTGATAGAACAAGGGGAATGGCTTTAATCTGCCAGAGGGGGGACTGAGTTAAGCTCTTAGGCAGAAGCTCTTCCCTGTGAGGGTGCTGAGGCGCTGGCACAGGGTCCCCAGAGAAGCTTTGGCTGCCCCATCCCTGGCAGTGCTCAAGGCCAGGTTGGACACAGGGGCTTGGAGCAAGCTGCTCCAGTGGAAGGGGTCCCTGCCTGTGGCAGGGGTTGGAGCTGGAGGAGCTTTAAGGTCCCTTCAACCCAAACCAGTCTGGGGTGCTATGAGTTTAAGTAGAGAAAGGAACTCTCTATGCCAGGGAAGGCAGTCCCTGAAATTCCCCCCAGCCTCCAAAATGAGGATTTTAAAGCAGGGATAATGCTGAATGATGGCTCCGGGGAACCATCCTGTAGCTCCCAGCACAATGGACCAAAGATTTTAATTGCTTGTTAACTACTATTGTCGCACACAAGTTAGCAAAGCTGGAACCATCTGACATAAATCACTTCTATCAGTCCAATAAATCTTCTCTCAAAATGACAGCTTTGCAGACAGCACTAAATTAGAGCGGCCGTTGCACAGACCTGTACTTACAACTGCCGCCTGCAAACCGGTGACAGATCTGTTGAGACCAAAACACTTGGCATTCTGCTAATGTCTGTCATTACCGTGATTGATAGAGCCCCTCTATCACACTCTGCAGTTGTCTCCGTTTGCAAAGCTTTATTAAATTACCACGTCTCCCAACTGTTATCCGCATCAGTATAAGGAAATGACCAAGAGCAGTCAGGGACATCTTGAGGTTTTTCAGCTCCAAAGACCTGGGGAGGTGGGAAGGGTGAAAGCTGAGGCTTTGCTGGCTTTTCTCTAGCTAAAACACTGAGTACAAGATTACCTTTGTGCTTGACATTCCACGCTGGGCAGCGGAGGGGTTGCTCCTGATAAAAGAAATAGGTTACATTGACAACTCTCTCTCTTCCGCTCCAGGCTTGGCAGGACCAAGGGACTTTCTGCTTCTTTCAATGTATTCTAATTATGAAGGTTGAAGGATTTATTCTGCAAGCCCTGGTGCTCTCGGGGCCGGGGTTATCTTAATGACTCTCCTGCAAGTGTTCCCCTTGACCTACCTTCAGTGCAGTAACAGGTGCCATTACAATATATTCCGCCCCTATGAAAGTCCTGTCGTCTCGGAGCCTTTAGGAGGAAGAATATACAGATATATTGTTTCTATAAATCCCCTGGTATTATCTTTTATCGGTAGTAATAAATGTCCATATTAATTAACTTAATGGTTTTAACTGCAGTAATGACTTTGTATTAAACTAGTGCGCTTTCATGTCCCATATAAAAGCTGCAATAATAAAATTCATCTACAGTATTCTTTCTTTTTTTTCAACTTCTATTGTGCTGAAACAAAGCAAACCCATTGCTGGAATATTCCAGCCACCAAGGCCAGCCCATGAATCAAGCCTGGT